ACGGCTACGACTACTACTACTACTACTACTACAACTATTACTTCTACTACTACTACTACTACTACTACTACTACTACTTCTACTACTACTACTACTACTACTACTACTACTACTACTACTACTACTACTAGTACTACTAGTGCTACTAGTACCATTCGTACGACTGCCACTACTACTACTACTGCTATTACTTGTTCTGCAAATTGTACTACCAATGGCGTTACTATTAGCCTAGCAGTGGTACAAGTATTACTCGTACTTCTACTTCCATAGTGCTACTCCTCTGTACGACTACTCGTACGACTACTTGTACTACCTGTAGTACTTCTGCTTTTACGACTCGTAGTATTACTCGTACTGCTAGTACCACGAATGGTTCGTATACCCGCTCTACTGCTTCTACTACTGCTTCCACTACTACTACTACTACTACTACTACCACTATCACTACCACTACTTGTACTACTACCACAACTATTACAGCTACTGCTGCTGCTACTACTACTACTACTAGTACTACTGCTACTACTACTACTACTACTACTACTACTACTACTACTACTACCACTACCACTACCACTACCACTACCACTACTACTGCTGCTACTACTACTACTACTGTAACTGCTACTACTACTACTACTACGACGACTACTACTACTACTACTACGACTACCATTACTACTACTAATACTACTACAAGTACTACTACTACTACTACTACTACTGCTACTACTACTACTACTACTACTGCTACTACTAGTACTACTACTACTACTGCGACTACTACTACTATTACTACCGGTACGCGCCAGCATCTAATTGCGCCAGCATCGTTTCTTATGTTGTGGGGTGGCGGAACGTGTCCGTTGTTCCTTTTTAACATGGCCAGCCCTGTCGTCGACGATGCGAAATGCGCGGCGGGAATGGGACGCGGCGCACATCCCGCGCGGACGTCAATGCGGTGTCCTGGGGTACCCTCCACTCGCATTGAAATGCCCGCGCAGCCCCCCGTTGTGCCATCACTGTTTCTTATGGTGTGGGAGGGCGGGTGGGAATGGGCATGCCATGCTTGACTCGCTCGAGCTGGTTAGCTTGACCCACGCCCGCACCCGCTCCCGCACCTGCGCCCGCCCGCACCCACACCCACACCCACGCCCACGCCCACACCTACCCCTACGCCTACGCTTACGCCTACGCCGACGCCGACGCACGAGCACACGCACACGCACACGCACACGCGCACACACACACAGACACCAACACCTACACCCACGCACACACACACACACACACCTACGCACACGCACACGCACACGCACACACACACACACACGCGCGCGCACACAACTTGCGGGCTTTTTGTTGCTCCCAGGCGGTTGACACCTTCTTCATGGAAGGCCAGCCCCGCATGCACCGTCGGCCCTTATTTTCACACAGTCAGGTCGCGCGAGAAAGGGATGGTGGTCTGGAGTTTGCCGCCGCAGGCGACAGGCGAGTCAGCAGGGCAATGTGATGGGCGCACGCAGGCATCGAAGGGAGATTGTCGGTGGATCGCTGCTTCAGGCAGGCGTTTGTTGCATTGATGTGGTTGCAGCAGGAAGTACAGTCAAGACGATGCAATACGGAACAGCTTGGGTTCGGAATGGGCTCGATGCTCCCCAGGTCCCTCTAGTGTTGTTCATCTTGCCCTCCTGGGGCGCAGAGGCGCTTATAGGGCCAAAAAGGGGCTTCGTTCCTCATTTGGCGCTCATTATGTCAGCGGCCCGATTGTATGATCTTGGTTGGCCGTCGCGGTTCTCAGCGACGTCAGAGTGGGCACGCTTGGGGCACGTGTGCGCAAGTGGGGCCCTCTCCCATGTGTCATATGTGCTCGTTTTGTTGGCTCTGCCTTCCGACCTGCACGATGAGGCTGCGGCATGTTGTGCATTTTCTTTGCGTGGGGCCACCCCTCGGTTTCTTCGCCGCCCCGTCAATCGCCCATCCCTTGGGCCTGCGAGTCCCAAACCGATCGCAGAACGGACTTCCAGGGGTTGAAGAAAGGTGACCGAGCAGGGGAATGCTGACACGACTCTCTGGAGTTGGGCAATCTGGGTAATCTGAGGGTGTCATGCAACGTTCTAGCGAACAGAGCACATGCACGACACAGAAAAGCGAAGGCCCCGCCTAGGGACCGCGGCAAGACTTACGCCTGCCACTCGACACGGTCGTCGTCAACCATTGGAGGGCGCCATGGGCTTGCAGGCATTGGTTGTGCCAGGGAGGGCGGGCCGAACGAATGAATGCACGGTACAGTCGGCATCGGTCCACACTAGCCGGTCGACCCTACCAAATCAAAGGGTACCTTTGTGTCCTGGGTCTCGCGACCCATGCTTCCTACATCCCTTTGGCAATGTGGCCCGCGGAAGGGTCTCGTGTCCTCTCGCGTGTCCTGTCCAATCGAGTTCGACTGTACCTTGATACCGCTTGGCCCGCCGAGGCTCAGGACTTGGCAGAGAGAGGCGGATCTCCGCGAAGGGCAACCAGGACGCCCCAGCCCACCCCACCCGACGGCCTCCACGACAACCTTCCCTGCTCCGCTGTTCCTCGTTCCGTTTTCCTTTCCATCGCTTCGGTCTGTCCTGCAGCGCCCCCCCCCCCCTCGGTGCCCTCCGCGGAGAGGCCACTCCTTCACCCAAGCCGCGCCCACCAAGCAAGTCGACGCCAAGAGGTTGGACGCTTTCTTCCGCAAGTACAAGGCCTGCCACCACCCCTGCCAGGAGGCCTCCTGCCACGGTTCTGTGGGCTGGGGGCCAGCGGCGATGCGGAGGCATCATTTCTGGGCCGTGCCTCACAGACGGCTAGGTCGCCCAAGTTTCAATCGACCATGCCTTGGATAAGCCGAGCGGGGGCAACACGGAACGTGCCGTCAGTGGTTAGATTGCGTTTTTGGTTGGCCAGGGTATGTTGTTTATTTGTCACATCTATGTATCCGCTTGGGCCCGCCTTCCCGACACGCCAGCTAGGGTCTGCCCGCCCGATCTGCCCGTCTGGTTCTGCCACGTGTTTGATATTCCTTGCACTCCACCCTCCTGCTAACTTCTTTGGTACGCAGTCCTTCTTCTTCCCCCCTTCATCTGTTCTCTCCTCCTTGTTTAGGGGCTGCACTAAATGCGCGTGTCAAGTATGGAAGATCTACCACCAAGGGGGTACGATCGACAACTAAGTGGGCGGGTACCGAGGGTTCGGGATCTACGTGAGGAGTCGCACGCGAGCAGATAGGAACGTGCAGTCTTAACATGATCGTTGTTGTTGGGCCCTAGCTCTTGATGGGTAATTATTGTAGATTCCCCACAGGTGTACAGTGCGCTTTTCACTTCAAGTGCTCCTCCCGGGGCTCGCACCTTGGTTGTCTTCAAGGAAAGTATTCCTGCTCGAACTGGGCCCATGGTTCCCAAGTTGCAACAATAACGGCTCCCGCTTGACACGTCCTCGCAACTTATTCCCCAATCGCGCACTCGTGCAGGGTTTATCAATTAAAGTGCTTCCCCCGGTTGTCGCACTTTTTACAACGGTAAGAGAGGTATCACCAATTTGTGTTGTTGGGCCCCGGTTTACAACAGCAATGGCTCCCGCTTGATATGTTCTCACAAGTTGTTCCCACATCGAGCTCTCGCGCGGATCGCCCTAATAATTCCCTACCTAGGCTCTGCCTAGAAGGGTTCTTACTCTCTAGCTTAAGGGGGCCGGGCAGTGGAAAGCGCCCCGGGCGGTTCCCCCAGTCCCCGCCCCGCGGTTCCCCCAGTCCCCTGGGAGCTTTAGCTTTAGCTTTAGATCCAGCTTGAGCTTTAGCTTAGCTTTAGCTTAGCGTTAGCTTAGCTTGAGCTTAGTTCTAGCTTAGCTTTAGCTTAGCTTTAGCTTGAGCTTTAGCTTTAGCTTTAGCTTAGCGTTAGCTTAGCTTTAGCTTAGTGTTAGCTTAGCTTTAGCTTAGCTTCAGCTTAGTGTTAGCTTAGCTTTAGCTTAGCTTCAGCTTAGCTTTAGCTTAGCTTCAGCTTAGTTTCAGCTTAGCTTTAGCTTAGCTTTAGCTTAGCTTTAGCTTAGTTTTAGCTTAGCTTCAGCTTAGCTTCAGTTTGATTTTAGCTTATAATTAGCTTAGCTTTAGCCTTAGCTTAGCTGTAGCTTAGCTGTACCTTAGCTTGATCTTAGCTTTAGCTTAACTGTAGCTTGGATTTAGATTAGCTTTATCTTAGCTTTAGCTTAACTGTAGCTTGGATTTAGATTAGCTTTATCTTAGCTTTAGCATAGCTCCAGCGTAGCTTTATCTTAGCTTCAGCTTAGTTTCAACTTAGCTTTAGCTTAGCTTTAGCTTAGCTTTAGCTTAGTTTTAGCTTAGCTTCAGCTTAGCTTCAGTTTGGCTTTAGCTTAGCTTTACTGTTACTACTAATACTGCTTTTCTAGGGGCTCCAACTCCTAGGTAGGGTCGCACTGGGATAATTTATACAGAATCGCGCTCTCGCGTGGGACTTCCTTGGGCAGGGTCCGCTTTCACCAGGGATACGGCGTGGCAGCGCCAGGCGCGCCAATGCACGCCATGGCACCGCACAGCTCTTTGCCGGGACACGCTTCGGGACCGCAGTGTCCACATTCACCAGCGGTGCAGGCCAGTCCAGCCGACCACGCCCAGCTCTGGGCTGGTAAGTAGGTTGCTAGGGATAGCGAGTGGTCGTGGCCCCGGGAGCGAGGATCATCTTCCAATATGATGTTTCCTTGACAGCGAGGACCCGTCGCAGTTTACGAGGTTGGCTCCGTGAGCGAGGACGCGTTGTATTATGTCAGGGGACTGGCCCTGTGGGCAAGGATCCACCGCCTTTGACGCGTTATCGTCTCCCGGGGAGTGATGACTCATCGTAGTTCACGGATGTCCGCGGCGTTGACTAGCGAGAATGCGTTGTGCTTTGCAGGGGACGTTGGCCTCGCACATTGGCACAGGGTTATGCTGAGCTATCGTCAACTCGTGGTCATTGGCTCAGCCCGGCCAGCCCCGGCGCCGACAGCTTCCCACGGCACATGTCCACAGCCCCGCGAGCTGCAGGCCTGGCACGCTCGCGATGTGTGCGCTCGCGATGTGCCCTGCGTGCTGCCGTGTTGGCCGCCACGATCCTGCAGGTCAGAGGAGGGCAAGATACCGATGCCGCCGCTCCTCCTAGAGAGCCCTCATCGCCACCGCTGGATGTTTCTCGAAGTCTTGGGAGCGCACACAGGGAGAGGCCCGCGGAGCGGCGGTTTCCCCAGCAGGTGCCCGGCATCGGCGCCAGTGATTCCAACGTTATTGTCAACGGCAGCGCCCTGCTGGACAACACGACGGAGAACGGCAGCTTTACCATCGACGCTAGTGATTCCAACGTCAGTGTCAACGGCAGCGCCCTGCTGGACAACACGACGGAGAACGGCAGCTTTACCATCGACGCTAGTGATTCCAACGTTAGTGTCAACGGCAGCGCCCTGCTGGGCAACACGACGGAGAACGGCAGCACTACCAGCACGTTGACGAGCACGGCAAATGTGTCGTTTTGGCGCCAGAGGCCCTCCGCTGTTTTCTGCACTTACGACTGCAGCGCTGCTGGGCCCACACGGCGCCCGTCGCACCCTGGCAGATGCTTGTGGTCCCAAGAGGTGTACAAGACTCAGGCAAGTACTGAGATGCTCACCTCTAGTTGAGGCAGATAAGTAAAGGTTCTCGAATCGCATATAGGTCAGAGCATTGTTAGACTGGGCGCCTGCAGCCACATTTCGAGTTGAATGAGCTCAACTAGCGCAATGTATGTACCACATTAGTTATCCCATCAACCAGGGGTGCGCATATGGCGATGTGGGATCCCCCAAAAGATTGCGAGTGCCACGGTTGGAGCGGTCTCAGAATAGTCAAACGTTTTCAAGGTGTACGGGCAGGGACCGAATCAGTGCTCTACTCACATGCACACACATGTGCATCTATCATTAGTGTGAGGGCATTACGGCCAGTGCCGCCGACCCTGAGAGGGGGGGACGATGACGGTGACGACGACGACGACGACTCTCTCGAGCCTTCGTGGGGGCTCTGGTGGCCCCTGCTGGCCTCGGGATTCCCCCTGGGACCCCATCCAGGGACCGCCCCCAGCGATCCCCTCTCGGGACCGCCTCCCTCTAGCGGGATCGAGGGCCTCCTCTTGGACTCGATGGGTGCTCCCCAGCTTGCGGCTATGTGGGGCTCTCTTGGGCCTTCGTCTGAGAGGGGGGTTCACGACCACAGGGATCCCCCCCGCTAGCCCCCCCCCAGGCGCGGGGAAGGGGTCAAAGGGAAGAGGCTTCCAGTCGACTGCGACTGTGCTCGATTTCTGTTTGGCTGGGTCGCTTGAGGAGGAGGGCCCAGGGAAAGGGAGAGAGTGGCGACGGCGGTCCAAACGGAAAATCGTTTCACACACGCCGACAGGGTCGGCAGATCCTCTAGATTCGCATGGACTTCCTTATATGTGTACATGTTATGTGTGTATGTGCATATAGCTTTGCACCGAGAAACACACGTAGGTGGTGCTATGTGTGGCCCGTTCTGCCACCTTGCATGGATCCTAGAAAGAGACCTCTCGCAGGCCTTTGGAACCGCTTGGGAGGCCTCCTGGGGGCCCAATCGTCGGGGGCCGCGTTGGGGCGAGTTTCGGGGCCTCTTGGCCCATCCTGGCGGGCGCTCTTAATACAACAACGTCGATTAAAGTCATGCTCGGCGTTTCAATGACTTGGGCTTCTTTGGGCCAGCAAGACGGCCCAACATCCGCCCAAGAGGGCTTCAGGACAGGCTTGGAGACTATCTGAGGCGACGGTGACAGCAATGAATACCAACTACGTTCTCGAGACCCGTGAACAAGTCACGCGAGTCACTCAGGAGCGCTTGGGCCTTGGGCCCCATGAAGAGTATCTCAATGCTGCATCGGACGTGAAACGGATGCCCCCTACCTGGAAATCGTTTCCGGTTTCGTCTTCGCGCCGTGCGAGTGGGCGAGGCGAAGTTGCACGCGCGCGCGAAAGGATTGGTCCCGCCCATGCCAGGGCGAAGTCGGAGCAAACGACTCTCCTCTCGTCTGGTTGGCGGATTGGGCTGCGGTTGTCCCGGGAATGTCACTTGCGTGTTCCGTGGTTGTCTGCGGTTGTCCGGATGGTTGTCTGGATGATTGTCCCGACGGTTGTCCCGACGGTTGTCCCGATGGTTGTCGGCATGGTTGTCCCGATGGTTGGTTTGTCTTGATCGTTGTCCCGATGTTTGTCCCGATGATTGTTACAGATGGTTATCCAGATGATTGTCCCGATGTGTGCTCCGATGGTTGTCCCGATGGTTGTCCTGATGGTTGTCTTAATGTTTCTCTGGATGGAGATCGACCAGAAAATTATGCTCGGCGACTTCAGCGCCTCCAGATGTTACACCGCCAGATGTTGGCCAACATGCAAAACATGTTTTGGTTGTCCTGGTGGTTGGCCCGATTGATAGACAGTGAGTTCGACAGATAGATAGTGATATTGATCGATAGGTCGTGAGGTCGCTAGAGATATCGACAGTGAGGTAAAGAGTGAATTCAGTAGATCGTGAGATTAAGAATGTATGTATATATATATATATATATATACACATCGTAACCATCGTGGATCCCAACCAGTGATTTCTTGCAATGTATGCTGTGTAATTCAGGTGGTGTAATTAATGTGGCGCCATCTTTGTGGCGCAAAACATGTGGTGCAATCTATGGTCTGCGAAGCAATGCGTAACAAGGCAAAACCATGCAATACCATGCACCGAAATGCAAAGCAATCCAATTCGATGCAATGCAGTGCTAATCAATGCCATGCAATGCAGCACAATGTAAAGCAGTGCAAAGCGCTGCAACACCATGCAACGCAATGTAAAGCAATGCGACGCAATGCAGCGCAATGCAGAGCAACGCAACGCAATCAACGTTACTGCAAAGCAATCTAAAGCCACGCGCCGCAATGTAGAGCAATGCAAAACAATGCAAAGACAGGCGACGCAATGCAAAGCCCTGCAACGTAATGCAAAGCACTGTACAGTAATATAATGTAATGCCGGGCAACGCAGAGCAATGCGAAACGACGCAACGCACACCATGTAAATGCAATGCAGAGCAGCGCAACGCAATGCACCGCAATGCAGTGCAAGGGGATTGCAATACGATCGTAACGCTTTGCAATACAGTGGTAGTGCAATGTGACCTCAAAGCGCTGCAACACAGTGCAAAGGAGTGCGGTTGCAGAGCGGGTGCGACGCATTGCAGGCAACGCAACGCAATGTACAGTAATATAATGTAATGCCGGGCAACGCAGAGCAATGCGAAACGACGCAACGCACACCATGTAAATGCAATGCAGAGCAGCGCAACGCAATGCACCGCAATGCAGTGCAAGGGGATTGCAATACGATCGTAACGCTTTGCAATACGGTGGTAGTGCAACATGACCTCAAAGCGCTGCACTACAGTGCAAAGCAATACGGTTGCACAGCGGTGCGACGCAGTGTAATGCAATGTCACTGCAGTGCAGTACAATTTCAGTGCAATGCAGCGCATTTGCACTGCAATGCGATCGCAATACAATTCGATGCAACGCAGTGCTAACCGATGCTAAGCAATGCAGCACAATGCAAAGCAGCCTAAAGCGCTGCAACACCATGCAACGCAATGCTGCGCAATGCAGAGCAACGCAACGCAACCAACGTCACTGCAGAGCAATCCAAAGCCACGCGCCGCAATGTTTAGTAATGCAAAACAATGCAAAGCCAGGCGACGCAAAGCAAAGCCCTGCAACGTAATGCAAAGCAGTGTACAGCAATACAAGTTCATGCCGAGCAGCGCAGAGCAATGCGAAACGACGCACCGCACACCATGGAAATGCAGAGCAGCGCAGCGCAACGCAGTGCAGAGCAATGCAGTGCAAGGGGATTGCAACACGATGGCAACGCATTGTACTACGGTGGTAGTGCAACGTGACCTCGAAGCGCTGCACTACACAGTGCAGAGCGGTGCGGCGGCAGAGCGGGTGCGACGCAGTGCAGTGCGATGTCACTGCAGTGCAGTGCAGTGGCAGTGCAGTGCAGCGCACCTGCACTGCCGTGCGATTGCAGTGCAGTGCGAGGGCAGTGCAGTACGGTTGCACTGCGACGGGGGGGGGGGGGCAGGCGGGGCGGCGAAGGGCGACGGGCGGGCACGAGGGGCGGCCGGGGCGGCAGCACGGGCTCCCTGACTGGGAAAGCGTGGTGCGGCGGCGAGGGAGGGGAACGGGGCCGCCAGGGCGGCACGCGGGCCCAGCTCGGGCCGGAACATATACACTACTCCAGATGTCGTAATAAAAGGGAGGGGGTCTGGACCCTCCAAGACGAGTCATTTCAGACCTCCCCCGTGGGAGAACCCTCCAAAACATCGTCCCCAGACCCCCCAGGCCCTCCAAGATAGCCTGGAAGAGACCCCCCCCCGAAATGAGACCCCCCTCCCTTTATTACGAAATCTGGAGTACCAGTGGCGGGCTGTTTTTCGACCCCAGAACTTTTTGAGGGTCGGGGACGACGTCGGGGTGGTGTGGTGTGTATTTTTTTCCCATCTCCCTGGGGGGGAACATCAGAACATGTATACACCAGGATCCGCATGCACCAGGATCCGCTTTCCTGTGCGCATTTCAGTGCGGGGCCGGAAAAAGCGTCGGTGTATAGAATTCGGCTCCTTAGAAAGAGTGACCTTTCGCCGGAGTGACCTTTGGTGCGGGCCTAATTGGGTCCCCCGATCGCCGAGCGCGATGCGAAAACAGCGTATTGCTCGCTTGTGTCGGGCCCCCCCCCGCGGCGCCCACAACGCCGCGCACCAGAGGTCACTCTTATACCCAGGGTCACTCTTGCGTGCAGCCGACCAGTTTTTTGGAAGGCAAGCGGGACCCCCCTGGGCGCAAACAGCGTTTGGGGAATCTCTATTTTCGCTAAATGGTGCTCGCACTTGGGGGCTGTAAGTTGTGGTCCAAGGAACTGGGCCTGGGCAGCGGTCTGGCTGGCGGCTATGTTGTTGCCGTCGCCGCCTCGTCGCCGCCTCGTCGTCTGGGCCTGGGTGGCGGTCGCCGCGCATGTTGTCGCCGTCGCCGCCCGTCGCCGCCATCCGTCGCTGCTGCTTCCGGGCCTGGCTGGCAGTCGCCGCAGTTGTCGCGGTCGCCGCCGTCCGTCGCCGCTGCTGTTGGGTTTGGGTACCGGTCGCCGCGATTGTTGTCGTCGCCGCCCGTTGCCGCTGCCGCATAGCGTACACCACAATGATTGGAATGCGGAGATATTTTTCCTAAACCGGAATTCGGATCTACCAATCCCCCGAGGCCGATATTATCAGTTCCGCCTGTGGATGTGCAATTTGCACGCTATTCTGCCCCACCGTTCCTTCCAAATATGTGCTCATACCATTCAAGCCAGGCTGGTATCGATTGGCCCCGCCATCCCTTGCAGAAATTACTATGCGCGCACGCGTTTATCACGTATTTTAAAGAATCCCTGGCAACACATGGGATGAAGTGCACACACGCGCGCGTCGTCGCGCGCGCATGTCGAAATTAGTCGAAAACGTTAGGTTCCACAAGGACGTCAAAATCGAGTGTCGCGAAAACATACAAAAACATATACTTTA